TTTTTCTGTGTGAATGTGTTTTTACTTTTCTTTAGGCAGGTTCCTAGAAATATAATTTTGCTTGGTTCTGTGGCAAATTTATATTTTAACTTTTAAAGAAACAACCAAAGTATTTTTTAGTGTGATTGTACCATTTTACATTTTACCAGTAATATACCAGGGTTCCATCTTTGCCAACTTTTGGCATTCTGGTTTTGAATTTAGCCATTCTAATGGATGGATAGTAGTGTGCCATGGTTTTACTTTCCCTAGTAACTGATAATATTGATCATATTTTCATGTGCTTATTAGTCATTCATGTATTTTCTTTGGTGAAATGTTTATTCAGATTTTTGCTTTTAAAATTATATTACCATCTTACTGATTTCTTTGTTTTGTTGTTTTTGTTTTTTGAGACAGAATCTTGCTTTGTCGCCCAGGCTGGAGTGCAATGGCATGGTCTTGGCTCGCTGCAACCACCATCTCCTGGGTTCAAGCGATTCTCCTGCCCCAGCCTCCCAAGTAGCTGGGACTACAGATGTGCACCACCATGCCTGGCTAATTTTATTTTATATTTTTAGTAGAGACAAGGTTTTGCGCCATTGGCCAGGTTGTTTTCAAACTTCTGACCTCATGAACTGCCTACCTCAGCCTCCCAAAGTGCTGAGATTACAGGTGTGAGCCACCATGCCTGGCTTATTTTTTCATTAATGGTGTCTTTTGAAGCATAGTAACTTTTTAATTTTGAGAAAATCCATTTTACTGTTTTGTTTTCCTTTTTGTGGATTCTGCATTTGATGTCACATCTAAGGACACTTTGGCCAATACAGAGTCACAGAGATTTCCTCCTGTGATTTTTTTTCTAGAATTTCTGTATTTTAGCTCTTAAATTAGGTTTGTCATCATTTAAATTTTTGTGTATGTTGTGAGGTATGGGTGTAAGTTTTTTTTTCCTTTTGGTGTTTGGATATCAAATTCTTTCATATCATATGTTGAAAATACTCTCCTTTTCCCCCATTGGATCATCTGGGTACCCAACATATCGGTTGACCATAAATGTGATAATTTGTTTCTGGATTCTGAATTCTGTTCCATTGATCTAAATGTCTGTACTTTTGCCATTACCATGCTGTCTTGATTAATATGGCTTTACAGTAAAATTCGGAATTTGGTAGTGTAAGTCCTGTAACTTTGTTGTTTTTCAAAGTTGTTTTGCCTGTCCTCTGTGATTGTATATGAATTTTAGAATCAGCCTGTCAATTTCTTTAAGAAAAAAAGCTGCCTGGGATTAAAGATTGCATTGAATTTACAGATAGATCAATTTTAGGGAAAATTGCCATCCTGACAATATTGATAGTCTTCTAATCTGTGAATATGAAATGTCCATTCAGATACTCTTTAATTTTTCTCAGTTGTGTTTTGCAGTACTGAGCGTAGAAGTCTTTGCTAAAGTTTTTATAAGTATTTTAAGTATATTCTTGATGCTATTGTGAATGGAATTTTAAAAAATTAATTTGTTCATTCCTAGCATATAAAATGGAAAATGCAATGGACTTTTGTATATATTGTTTCTGCTATGACCTTGCTAAATTTGTTTATTGGTTCTAATAGTTTTTGTGTGCGTTTCTTGAGATTTTCTGTAAGCAGAATTGTGTAATCCATTACTAAAACAGTTTTACCTGTTTCTTTTTAGTCTTGATGCCTTTGATTTTTTTTCTTTTGAACCTTACTGCACCAGCTAGAACAGGTATTATTTTGAAAAGAAGTAGCAAAAGCAGGCATCCTTTCCTTGTTCCTCATTTTTGGATGGAAAGTATTGTGTTTTATCTTTAAGAAAAATTGGCTTTAGGCCGGGTGCGGTAGCTCAAGCCTGTAATCCCAGCACTTTGGGAGGCTGAGGCAGGAGAATTGCCTGAACCCAGGAGGCGGAGGTTGCGGTGAGCCGAGATCGCGCCATTGCACTCCAGCCTGAGTAACAAGAGTGAAACTCCGTCTCAAAAAAAAAAAGAAAAGAAAAAGAAAAATTGGCTTTAGATTTTTTATTGATGCCCACCACCATCAAGTTAAAGTTGTATTTCTAGTGTGTGTGTGTGTGTGTGTGTGTGTGTGACAGAGAGAGAGAGAGAGAGAGAGAGAGAGAGAGAACAGGTATTGTATGTTGTGAGATTCTCTTGAATGTTTTGTTATGGATTTTGTTATGTTTATGGGATATTTTGGTTTGTATTTTCTTTTGTCTGGTGGCCTTATTTTCAGAGTAGTTTGGCCTTTAAATACGAGTTGGGAAGTGTTTTCTCCTCCTCTGTGTTTGGGTGTTATTTCTTTTTAATTATTTTTTAGAATTTACCAGTGAAGGCATTTAGCCCTGGAGTCTTCTTTTGAGGAGAATCTTCAGTAGCTATTTAAAACTTTTACTACAAGTCTTTTCAATTTTAAAACCTTTTCTTCAGTCAATTTTGGTCATTTGTGTCTTTAAAGAAATTTGTCCATTTCATCTAAGTAGTCTCAAATTGTTGGCATAAACTTGTTCATAGGATTTTCTTAATTCTTCACATCTTGTAGGGCACTAGTGATACTCTGACCACTTTCATTCCTGATTTTGGTAATCTGTGTTTTCTTTTTTACTTAGAAATTAAGATTTGCCAAACTCTTTGATCTTTTAGAGCAGGTGTCCCCAAACTACAGCGCGGGCTGCATGCGGCCCCCTGAGGCCATTTATTCGCCCCCCCGCCGCACTTCAGGAAGGGGCACCTCTTTCATTGGTGGTCAGTGAGAGGAGCACAGTATGTGGCGGCCTCCAACAGTCTCAGGGACAGTAAACTGGCCCCCTGTGTAAAAAGTTTGGAGACATCTGCTCTAGCCCCATAAATTCCCCATCATTCCCCTGAGGAGGCTGCACTAGCCACAATGGTTCTGGCTCCTCTGTTGAAGGGACTATAGCCAAGTCTAGTGTTTCTAAATTCTCCACAAATATTAAAACTTGAGGATTCAGAAAGAAATCAGAATTTCTGAGAATTCTTCGGAAATCCCAAAGTCATAAATTTCTTAAACATGTCCAACAATCTGTATACTCTTTGTCATTATTGTAAAAAGTTTGGGGACGCCTGTTTTAAAGCAACCAACTTTTGGTGTTACTTAACTTTTTTCTCAGGGTTTTCTGCTTTCTCTTTTATTGGTTTCTGCTTTAATCTGTATTTATATTTATTTATTTATTTATTTTTATTTATTTGAGACAGAATCCTGCTCTGTCATCCAGGCTGGAGTACAGTCACATGATCTTGGCTCACTGCAACCTCTGCCTCCCGGGTGCAAGCAATTTACTGCCTCACCCTCCCAAGTAGCTGGGATTACAGGCGCCCGCCACCATGCTCGGCTAATTTTTGTATTTTTAGTAGAGATGGGGTTTTACCATCTTGGCCAGGCTGGTCTTGAACTCCTGATCCACCTGCCTTGGCCCCCCAAAGTGCTGAGATTATAGGTGTGAGCCACGGCGCCTGGCCTAATTTTTTTTTTTTTTTTTTGAGACGGAGTTTCGCTCTTGCTACCCAGGCTGGAGTGCAATGGCGCGATCTCGGCTCACCGCAACCTCCGCCTCCTGGGTTCAGGCAATTCTCCTGCCTCAGCCTCCTGAGTAGCTGGGATTACAGGCATGCACCACCATGCCCAGCTAATTTTTTGTATTTTTAGTAGAGACGGGGTTTCACCGTGTTGACCGGGATGGTCTCGATCTCCTGACCTCGTGATCCACCCGCCTCAGCCTCCCAAAGTGCTGGGATTACAGGCTTGAGCCACCGCGCTCAGCTAATTTTTTTTTTTTTTTTTTTTTTTGAGACAGAGTCTGCTTCTGTTGCCCAGGTGGGAGTGAAGTGGCCACGATCTTGGCTCACTTCAACCTCCTCCTCCCAGGTTCAGGCAGTTTTCCTGCCTCAGCTGCTGAGTAGCTGAAATTACAGGTGTGCACGATGCTTGGATAATTATTTTCTTTTTGGTAGAGACAGAGTTTTGCCATGTTGGCCACGCTGGTCTCAAACTTCTGACCTTAGGTGATCCGCCCACCTCAGCCTCCTGAGGTGTTGGGATTACTGGTGTGAGCCACTGCAGCCAGCCTGCTATCATCTTTACTATTTGCTTTAACCTGCTTAGTTTGGGATTCCTGTTAAGGTTAAAGTAAGGTTTGGTTATTGACTGCTATCATCTTTATTACTTGCTTTAACCTGCTTAGTTTGGGATTCCTGTTAAGGTGAAAGTAAGGTTTGGTTATTGACTTGAGACCTTGCTTTACACACACACACACACACACACACACACACACACATACATTTTTACTGTATATACACAGATACAGTGTATTTTAAAAATGGGCTTTACAATATGTAGTTTTATCATTCAGTTTATGACTAAATATATTGTGAACATTTTCTCTTCAGCAGTTAAAAGAATTGCATAGCTTGGAGAAAACTAATTTATTAAGCAATTTTGTTGGGGACACTGAGGCATAATTTTTTTTTTCTAAGGAGACGTCTTTCTTTTTACATTGCCTTTAGAAAAAAAGGGGAAGTCCTTCGCTTACATAGCTTTCTATAGATGATGGAAACTTGCCCTTCATTTAGCCTTTTAACTTCTTTCTCTACCCCCACCTAATCATGTAACCCATTTTATGTTTTCCAGCCTCTCTCCCACTTGCTTCCCATTCCCTTTCACATGCAGACAGACTTCCTTTACTAGTACTCTGGTTCCCCTCCTTAAAGAGGCTTTTTTTCCTTTTAAAGAGACTAATTGATTTTGATCAACTCTACTCAAAACTGTATCCTAAGTTCCACATTAGGATTAATCTTTAATAATCTGAAGATGTAATTCAGTTGTTTAACATATTAAGGAGACCTTGGTAGAATTACATGTATAAAGAAGTACTGGACTTGGGCACAATGGAGGTATGGCTGACTTTGAAAAAAGTAGTTTTTTGGGGGGAGGGCAGAGCAAAGAGGTAAGAAGTAGTTGGTACAGTAAGGAAGTGTTAGAGATCATTATGGAAAAGTATTCATTATTTTAAATATGATACATGCAGACAGTAGTAGTTCTGGAGTCTTGGTAGCCATGAGGTGCTCATCCATCACAGGGCCATCACAGCCAGGTAGAAATGCCTGAGGAAAGCAGTGGAATTGGTCATACCAGCATTTAGACATGGAACACTTCTTTGGCAGCCAGGTGCCATGGGGCACAGACCCACAGTTCTCTTTGCTGACATCATGCTCAGAGTTCTGTCTGTAGAAGGAGGAGGGGCAGGCACAAGAGGACCCCAGCATGCAGGTTTCCGCATTCAGGCAGCAGGTTCTGTTTCGCTCCTTACTATCCTGTATCCCCATGGGCAGCGCAAGCTGGGAAGACTGAGGACGAATTCCAGGCTCTTCCTGAGGCCGAATGCTGTCATCTCTGAAGGCCAGGTTTCCCTGAGATGGATGCCGCTTTCTTTTTTCAAATTTATTTATTTTTTTGAGACGGAGTTTCGTTCTTGTTGCCCAGGCTTGGAGTGCAATGGCGCAGTCTTGACTCACTGCATCCTTTGGCTGTCAGGTTCAGTATGTTGTAGCATTACCATGTTGTTTTACGTTAGGTCCAAAAGATTTTTTTGTTTGAGACTGAGTCTCGCTTGGTCGCCTGGGTTGGAGTGCAGTGACAGGATTATGTCACTGTAGACTTGAACTCCAGGGCTCAAGCCATCCTTGCACCTCAGCCTTCTGAGTAGCTAGGATTACAGCCACACGCCACCACACCTAAAATCCAAAGGATTTTAACCCTAGTTTGTGCTTTTGGTGTCTGATCTTCACCTCTTTAACTTTATTTTTTATAGCCTTTGGAGGAAGAGGATAAGAAGGTGGACCAGAACATATTACTTGGAGAGAGAGACACAGAATCAAGGATCATTTTAGTTTGAGATAAAGGAATGGGGAATATGGCATGAAATGAAGTGAGCTAATTGAGAATTCTTCCGTTTCTTCTAAGATAATATTTTTTGTTATCTGGTCTAGTGAGTTTAGTTCGTCTTAATTTTGACAGATTACTTATGTCATCTAAACTTCAGTTTATGAAACGCTAAATTTATTTTACTAAATCTTTGCTTTCCTCCTTCTCCCCCTTAGGACATTTGCTACAAGATCCTATTGCACCCACCAACTCCACCTGCCAACACTATGTCTGCAAAACTTGTAAAGGCAAGAAAATGATGATGAAACCTTCGTGTAGCTGGTGCAAAGACTATGAGCAGTTTGAGGAAAACAAGCAGTTAAGCATCCTAGTGAACTGCTACAAAAAACTATGCGAATATATAACACAGACTACACTGGCACGGGATATAATAGAAGCAGTTGACTGTTCTTCTGATATTTTGGCTTTGCTTAATGATGGATCATTGTTTTGTGAGGAGACAGAAAAACCCTCAGATTCATCCTTTACTTTGTGTTTGACACATTCCCCTTTACCTTCAACCTCAGAACCTACAACCGATCCTCAAGCTAGTTTATCTCCAATGTCTGAAAGCACCCTCAGCATTGCTATTGGCAGTTCTGTTATCAATGGTTTGCCTACTTATAATGGGCTTTCAATAGATAGATTTGGTATAAATATTCCTTCACCTGAACATTCAAATACAATTGATGTATGTAACACTGTTGACATTAAAACTGAGGATCTATCTGACAGCCTGCCACCTGTTTGTGACACAGTATCCACTGACTTATGTTCCACAGGCATTGATATCTGCAGTTTCAGTGAAGATATAAAACCTGGAGACTCTCTGTTACTGAGTGTTGAGGAAGTACTCCGCAGCTTAGAAACTGTTTCAAATACAGAGGTTTGTTGCCCTAATTTGCAGCCAAACTTGGAAGCCACTGTATCCAATGGACCTTTTCTGCAGCTTTCTTCCCAGTCTCTTAGCCATAATGTTTTTATGTCCACCAGTCCTGCACTTCATGGGTTATCATGTACAGCAGCAACTCCGAAGGTAGCAAAATTGAATAGAAAACGATCCAGATCAGAGAGCGACAGTGAGAAAGTTCAGCCACTTCCAATTTCTACCATTATCCGAGGCCCAACACTGGGGGCATCTGCTCCTGTGACAGTGAAACGGGAGAGCAAAATTTCTCTTCAACCTATAGCAACTGTTCCCAATGGAGGCACAACGCCTAAAATCAGCAAAACTGTACTTTTATCTACTAAAAGCATGAAAAAGAGTCATGAACATGGATCCAAGAAATCTCACTCAAAAACCAAGCCAGGTATTCTTAAAAAAGACAAAGCAGTAAAGGAAAAGATTCCTAGTCATCATTTTATGCCAGGAAGTCCTACCAAGACTGTGTACAAAAAACCCCAGGAAAAGAAAGGGTGTAAATGTGGGCGTGCTACTCAAAATCCAAGTGTTCTTACATGCCGAGGCCAACGCTGCCCTTGCTACTCTAACCGCAAAGCCTGCTTAGATTGTATATGTCGTGGCTGCCAAAACTCCTATATGGCCAATGGGGAGAAGAAGCTGGAGGCATTTGCTGTGCCAGAAAAGGCCTTGGAGCAGACCAGGCTCACTTTGGGCATTAATGTGACTAGCATTGCTGTGCGTAACGCTAGTACCAGCACCAGTGTAATAAATGTCACAGGGTCCCCAGTAACGACGTTTTTAGCTGCCAGTACACATGATGATAAAAGTTTGGATGAAGCTATAGACATGAGATTCGACTGTTAAAGCAGTGGGTCTTTTAAACCTACTCCTGGTAGGGAAATAGCTACAGTTTTACGGCAGCTATGGTTCTGTTGGTTTAACTTGCCGGAGCTCCTGCATATAGATCACTTGTATCAAGTGTTTTCATTGCTAAGTTATATGTGTTAGTGTCGGGGAAATAGTTTGCAGATAATGGAGGAGTAACCCTACAACTATATGTCCTTAGTTCTTACAGAACCTTATAGTTTGAGAACAAAGTTGATGCAACTGATTTATACAAAATGAACTTTGGCAAGGAAAATAACATTAACCTCATTGTTTATGGTCATGCTTTGTGCATAATCAAAGTTTATGATTAAATGTAAGGAAGTGGTATCTAGTCAGTCCATAAAGATTGTGCTAATTTTTTTGTGGAAAAGTAGCCATTAGTTCAGGAAATTCAGTGCTGCCTTCACATGGCATTGATGTTTCTCCTGTTGGAAAGCTGAAGTGTCCAGTTCAACCTTTGTGCTGACATCATACCATTTCTGATCATGAAAATTGGCTACTGGTGTATGTAGCAGTTCTTAAATCAGCAGTATTATGAAAAAAAAATTCCCCCCTCATTAGAATGTTTAAGAAATCTTTTAAAAAGGTAAACTGAAATTCTGTCAGACTACAAATGTTTAGCTGTTTGTCATTCATTTCTAGGGGAAAAAAATTATAAATCCTTCCTTCACTTTGAGAAGTGTTCTAATTGGATAAATGAAGTGAAGGAGAGTAGTTTTATTCTGAAGGTAATTGAATTTAGACTATATAGTATGTGACAGAGTTTGTGAAAAATTATAAAAAGATTTTTTAGTAATTGGGATTTACTTAAAATAATTTCAGAATAATGCCCCCAGACTTACCCAGATTTATGTATTGTACTTATTGCCACTGGCCGCCACTTTGATATTTGTTTTTGCTAATAGTTTATTTGCTACAGTCTTTATTTTGAATATGCTCCCCCCCCTTTTTTTTGGATGTTGTTCATTATGAAGGCTTCTTTATAGAGGCCTAATAAACATGCCTTTTTATGAAGCCTGTGCATTTAGGTAGGTTGAAGCTAGGAGGATTTTCTTTAGAATGCTCTTTTGCATGTAAAGCACAAAGTATGTTTCAGTTTAAATGCACTTCTTCCCGTTAATTTTTATGGGGAAGACAAGTGAGTCACAAACATTCTGTTGAAGGGAAATCTAGTCAGTTGCTTGAAAGAGCACAGCCCAAATAAAACAAGGACTGACTAGGTATAATGAAATAACCTATGATTTAAAAGAAGAGCTGCAGCTTTGACAGTGCTTATTTAAAGAAAAATACTGCTGGAACATTTCCAATTTCTACTACGTTCACCATCTCTAGTAAGATCTGACATATGTTGAAGTTATGTTTTGATTTGGCACACAGCATGTTCAATGATGGTTACTCGCCTAGTACAAGACATGGAGAAGAAACCTTTGGACACAGAGCAGATGACACCTCCTTCTGTTTTGTAGTGTATCCTGGTGTCATTTTCTGTGAATGTGGTCAGGTAGAGTTGTTTTTGTTGTTGTCGTTGGGTTTTTTTTTTGTTTCGTTTTGTTTTTTGTTTTTGGTCTCTTTTGGTGGGGTGGGGGTGGGCTAAAGCCATAGGAAGAAAAATGTGATGTATGTGTCCAGTATGTACTATTTTGTTTTTGTTTTGCAAGAAGAGTTGAACTATTTTTGATAACAAGAGTAAATGGTGGAAAATGCTTCTTAGTTGTCTTGTCTTTATTTGCTTTCCAAGATTTGGAATTTTATTTAATTCCTTTAAATGTTAGCAGTGTCTTATGAAACATGTATTTACCTAAAGTTTGTAACAGTTTTGTGTTGAACCCAGATGCCCTGCTATATAAAGTTGTAAATTTGTTCTTTATTCACTAATGATCACTGCAAAAATGATTAGAAATGAGATTGTACACATGGATGATGAGGATATATTTTGCAAATCGACCAAACTTTCCTAATATTATCATCTTAAAACTCAGAGTACTTTATTGCTTCCCAAGTTTGATAATCTTGTGTTTTTTTTTTTGTTGTTTGTTTTTTTGATGCATGGGAGGTTGGCAATATAGACAAAGTGGAAATCATTAGTATGTGAGGGCTTTGATTGTTATGTAATATTGCCAATGATGAATTCAGGTTGTTTTTAGCACAAGTTTCTCTTTTTTATGCTGGTATTCTCACTGCCACATTTTTGGAAACCTGTATTACACCTTAAATCTATCAATAAATGATAGTTTTCTAATTCTATGTTGTAGAATACTGAGGAGTTTGGGATAGCATGCTCTGAATGGTCTGTATTATATACATCTGGGGAAGAGTAATTACAGTGCCTTGATTTTTATATTGTTTTTCTTTATATTACAAGTTATTTAGGAATGCTGACAAATGGCTAACGAGGGATGATTGAGAGATTATTACTGAAGTAACCGATTTACTTCATCAGGATTTGAAACCACCAAAGAACAGCAGCATTTAATATGACACATCCTGAACTGTTGAGTCCTTGTTATTAATATAAATGATGAAATGATGTTTTACCTTAGCTAATAGTTTTAGCACTGATAATTTTATCTTTTTGGTTAGCCTTATTAAGTGTGCATTTCCATGAGGAGGTGTAGTGTGGTCCTAGGGATAAATAATTCCATTTATTTCATTGAATGCTTAGTTAAAACAATTCCGACCTTGTTGGAAGAGTAAAAGTTTATGGCAATCAGATGAAAATTAAATTGTTCCTAACCATATCATAGATAACAAATATAAATGCTTTAGAAAATACTAAGTTCAAAGTGTAATATTTGAACTGAATCTAATACTTGGATGATATTTTATACTTTTTTTAAAATTAAAAGCTGGGCACAGTGGCGTGTGCCTGTAATCCCAGCTACATAGGAGGCTGAGGCGGGGAAGGGTCACTTACGCCCAGAATTTTAAGTCCAGCCTGGGCAACATAGTGAGACCTTGTCTCTTAAACAAAATTTAGGTGCCCCCAAACACTCAGTTACACATTCTTTTAAAATAATGCATTATAGATGAGGCTAAAGTCTATCTTAACTCCTGTGAACTCCGCCTCATTCCCAAACCCTGTTCTTCTTCCCTATCCCCGGAAGAAATCATTTCTCAGTATTACTACAAAGACCTTTCTTTATAGTTTTCACATGGACTCAGAGTTATTCTCTGACATTCAAGCTTGTTTACAGTGTTAACTCTTGCAGACATAAAAATGAGGTGCAAATGAGATTAAATGCACAAGTGTGTAGTAATTACCTTAATGAACGTGATTCATATTTGACAACTTTATTTAGTTTTGCTAAAAGGGGAAAAAAAAGTCATGCAGCCATCTCCAAACACATCAAAAAGCTGAGCAAATCTCATTTGATCAATCTAGAGTTTTATAAACACTTTGAATGATACACAGTGACATAGGTAAGATGCAGGGAAGATATATGGAACTTTATTATTAGTTTGATTACTTTGGTAATGTTACGCTATTAAACTCACTTCTCATTGAATTAGTATTAAGGTCATGATAACCCTCAGCTTTTATCAAGGGTCCTGGGATACTGTAACTTGAAAATTCCAGTTTGGCAATAATGATTATATTTACCATGATCTTTACCAGAAAGTCAAATATATTCTACCTTAATCCCTCACAATTCACATTCCTTGCATTCAGTTCCAAGAAAGGAGTACAATAAACATTCTTATAATTCCTGAAAATGTGATAATGTGGGTAAACTATTAACAATAGTCCATCTGAAATGGAATGGTATTGACGACTGTACTTTTGTAATTAGAGACTTTTAAATATGTAGGGTCTTGCTCTGTTGCCTAGGCTGGAGTACAGTGGCATAATCATAGCTCACTGCAGCCTCGAAGTCCTGGGCTCAAGTGATTCTCCTGCCTCAGCCTCCCAAGTTGCTGGGACTACAGGTGTGCACCACCATGCCCTTCTAAGTTTGTTTTTTTTCTGTAGAGACGGAGTTTCACTATGTTGCCCAGGCTGGTCTTTACACCTGGGCTCAAGTGATCCTTTTCCAGTGGCCTCCCAAAGTGCTGGGATCCACAGGCGTGAGCCACCATGCCCAGCCAATAATTAGAGACTTCAAAAACCAGATGTTGATCAAATTGAAAGCAAGAGGACTTCAGTAAGGAGAACCAAGGTAAAAAAGTAAAGCCAAATAGTTTAAAAAAAATGTATATTGTAAAACTGAATTTTATTTTTACTTTTTGGTGAATCTGATTAGTGGTTTAGATCATTATGGATAATAAAACATTTAAACCATATCTGGCTTCTAAGAAAAGTATTTTTTTTTTTTTTTTTTTTTTTTTGTATTTCTGAAATAATCGCTTTTCTTCCCTGGTAAAAGGTTAGATGGGATTGGGAGGAAATTTTATCACATAAATAATCCTAATAATTTATCAATGTGTTTAGGTTATTGAATATTGTATTTCCTAAAAATTGTCATTTTTAAGCTTTTAATTTTTTTGTATGAACTATTAAATAGTTGGAATAGTTACTGCTTTCTGTAACAGTTAAATGGAAGATCAGTTCTAATCATAAAGTTACAAGAAACAGAGGAGACTGGCAGGAAGGATTCCTAGGATTAACTCTTACTATACTAGTTCATAGTGTATTTCGTAAATTCTCTTGGCTTTTGCTTACCATAACCCTAACCCAAGGTTTATTTCACTGCTTGGCCTTTATGCCAGCAAGGAGGGAACCAATTTTTGACACTTTCAGAACTAGTTTAAAAAAAATTTAGGGGAAAAGGTGATGACTGACAGATGGATTATTAAGTTGCTTGGAGGTTTTACTTATATCAGAAGTATCCTTTTTAACAGCTTATCTTCAAGGGTATCATAGGATTTGGCTGGACTGTGGCCTGCTGAAAAATGTAGGATTCGGTAGTGAATACTTCTACAACTACAGTAAATAATAGCTTGCTTTTATGGCTGTATCACTATTTTCCATTTCCCTGGTAAGAAAGTGGATGAAATATCTGGAGTAGTAGTTTTTTCAACATGAACTAAGGAATAACGTTTAAGATAGGCCTTTATGATTAGCTAGTCTAATTCTGGGAGAAAATTCTAGTAAGAATTTTAATGTATAATTATTCCTTTATGTCTTCAAGCAGGCCTTCTGAGTGAAAACAGTATCACATAATTTGGAGATTAAATACATCATTCAATAATTCATTGAAGAAAAGATAGTTAAAAGGGCTTTTTCCAAGAAATGTGAGTCAAATTCTGTACGTGTCTTCATTTAAGAAGTTTTTTTCTTGAGATTTTATGTAAGATCCACAGTCAGGACAGGGAGGTTACCAGAGCTTGCCAGCAACGTTGGAAGGCCCAGTGGTTACGATACCTGAGGATGTAAAGTGACTAGTGGTTTGGCAGTAACCGTGAAATTACATTAAACCAGGTAAGTTCAAGATCTTTGAACTCCAGTACACATATAATTAAAAGAAGTCTCTGAGATGTTTTGGCAGTGCTTTTATTACTAGGGCTAAGTCAATTCTGGAGGCCCTTACTACTATTTCAAGTTCCAGAATTTTTTGACTCAAGTTTTCTGCAAGTGAAGGTTTCTTCTAGGCTCCATAGGAGCCCAGAGGGGACTCAGGGATGCCAGCCAACACAGAGGCAACCGCAGTCAGCTTCTGTGCAGAGAACTGTGCTTGGCACTGTCCCCAGGAAATCCTTGGTACATTCAAGGGTGTAGAGTGCTGACTTTGGAAGGCGATGGTACCACTTCTGAGGAAAAGCTCTGTAAGAGGTTTGAGGCAAATTGGAGAGTCTCCTAAGTTAAATGTGTATCCAGACCTATTGCTTAAAAACAAAGTTCCTAGTACAGATACACACTTGGAGAAATCAAAGTCTTTAAAAAGCAGTATGCAAACGAGAAATCTCTTCACAAGAAAGAAACATTTAAAATACACATCTTTTCACTGCAGACACTGGCAGCTATTCTTCATCCACTGAATGAAGTTTTCCACATTTCTCTGGAAGGCTTGCACTTAATATTTTATTGCCTTTGTTTCCAAATTCAGAGGGTGAGGCAGGTTCGTCTGTTTCATAATCTTCAAAGCTGAAATAAAGCAAAAGTGAGTTACCTGATGAAAGTTTCAATGTTTGGGTAGAAATCGGTATGGCAAAACCTTTAGTTGCTCAATGGAGGCTGTGAACAATTGAACTGCACTACAACGCTGTACAGCAGAAAACATTCTTCTTTCTGTTATTTACAGCTTAAGTCCATGTCAGAATTTGTTGAAAATGTTGTGTATCAAGCTTTCCCTGGGGTTGGTGGGAGAATTACAAATGGTACTAGGTTAAGAAAATTTGAGGTCCATAAGGTATGCGCTCTACATGACTTTCCTCAGTAAAGTGGTTTCCACTCAGAATGGCAAACCTTTTTTTTTTTTTTTTTTTTTTTTTTTTTTTTTTTTAAAAGACGGAGCCTTGCTCTGCACTGCAACCTCTGCTTTCCACAATCAAGTGATTCTCCTGCTTCAGCCTCCCGAGTAGCCAGGACTGCATGTGTGCACCACCACACACAGCTAATAATTTTTGTATTTTTAGTAGAGATGTGGTTTTCACCACGTTGGCCACGCTGGTCTGGAGCTCCTGACTTCAGGTGATCTGCCTGCTTTGGCTTCCCAAAGTGCTGGGATTACAGGCTTGAGCCACTGTGATCACCCAGAGTGCAAACTTTCTCTACTCTCAGATTGCTTTATAGCTTCCCTTTGTGGCTCCAAGCAACACAAATAAATGTCCCAAGTGTGTAGATGGAACTGACTGAAGCTGGTTCATAGATTTCCCATTATTCTACTTTGTAGAACTTTACAGCATACCTAGACCTAGATGTTTATCCTGGGAAGATGTCCTGCTAACCCTTTTAGGTTTTGCTGGTATCCCCTAAATTGTGTATCCTCCAGGCTACCCCTAAGATTGGCTTTCGGCAGAGATGCAATATTTTTCTCCTGGAAATGATGTGGCTGCCTAAAATATATTGATAAAGATTCTGAGGCTGTATCTCTGAGCCTCAGATGTAGATAAGTACATCAGAAAAACATACATCAATTAGTAATGTCTTAACAGTATTTGACATTAGGGATCTCCCAAAATATTTAAGCAGAAATTTGTGGACATAACAGTCCATCAAAAAGGTACAAAGGCCAACTAGAGAGGGAAGATATGCTGAGGTAGGTATATACAGTAGATGCCACCTATTCAAGTTTCTAA